AGCGCCAGGCACTTAAGCAAGATAAGTGGCAGCTGGCACTATAAGCCGAACGCCAGACACTTGCTAAAAATTTAAAGCCAAGTGGCAAGTGGCATTCTAGCCGAGCGCCAGGCACTTAAGCAAGATAAGTGGCAGCTGGCACTATAAGCCGAACGCCAGACACTTGCTAAAAATTTAAAGCCAAGTGGCAAGTGGCATTCTAGCCGAGCGCCAGGCACTTAAGCAAGATAAGTGGCAGCTGGCACTATAAGCCGAACGCCAGACACTTGCTAAAAATTTAAAGCCAAGTGGCAAGTGGCATTCTAGCCGAGCGCCAGGCACTTGCCATAAACAAACACACGGCAAAGCTAATATAAAAGAAAAGAGAGAAAATATATGTATGTATTGAAAATAAGTTGAATAGAGCACAACACATAGGGAAAAAGAATTCTGTCATTTCATTGATATTGAGCATTGAGTTTACAAAAGTGAGATATCCATCGTTACAAAAAGATATGGAATGGAAGAGTCCAAAGGAGCCCTAGCTAGACGCCTCAGTACCAACAGCATCCTGGTCGTGCCGACCCGCCTCCTCGGCCCCATCAGCCGTCTCACCTTCACGAGGTGGGGAATCAAGATGAATGACTGAATCGTTCGGCTGGGGCTCAGCGTCAGCAGTGGCTATGGAAGGTACCACGGTTGACGATTGAGGAGCGGTCAGAGGCAGAGCGGTAGGAGGAGCTGTGATGATCTTTGAGGAAGCAATGTCCTGGCACTCATCGAATATGCGCTCCGCTTCGGTGGGTTCTGGGTCGACATAGACCCCCAGAGGTTCGATCCCTAGATCCTTGTCGACCTCATCTGGAGTGGAACTGGTCTGTCCCTCATCCGGAACTCGGTCGGCGAAACCTTCCCGGAATCCTTGAGCATACCTAAGAGCACCGACCCTTGAGAACCGAGCGTGAAGAGCCAGCATCCCACCGCTCACTCTGCTGATCGCATCGATCAGAGCGGTACGCTCGTCCAGAGCTCTTTTCTCAAAAGCCATCCGAGCAGACTGTTCATCAGCCAGAAGGCGCTGGAGTTCTGCCTTTTCTTCTCTAATTGATTCACGCTCAGTCTGCCAGACGCTCTTTTCAAGCTGGAGGGCATCCTTCTCATCCTGAAGGGAGTCATTCTCCTTCTTTAGGACATCTCTCTCTTGTTCAATTTTGTCAAGCCGAGCCAGTACCTCGGTATTCTTCATGGCGAGGAGGTCGTTTTCTTTATTAGCCACCTCCAGGCTATCAGAAAACTTACGAGCCTTGGCGTTCCCCATCTCCACCTGCTTCTGCATGGCCATCATTCCGAACAATGTCTGCATAGGTGCACATTAAAAACGGTTAAGCCAATAGTCAGGTCAGGCGAAGGCAAGACCAAATAATATGAGAGAATTCATGAGTTGGAAAATAAAAGTCACCTCCATAGCAGATTGGGGAAAGCGGCTGAACACATCCTTCTGGGATAGGCCCTTTGCCGCCTCAAGGTCTTTCGGAGTCCACATGCTCCTATAGTACGCCATGGCGGTCTGGCCATCCTTCAGCATGGTCTCGTTCGGTTTCACGAACGTCCCATCCGTTCGGGTGTACCGAGGGGCCCATGGCGGTAAGGTGGGGATAGAAGGGGGGCCTGAAGCAGAAGCGGAGCCACCAGCTGCAGTAGGCCCAGAGGGAGCAGGAGCTCTGATCGCACGGTGCAAGAGAGCGCCCGGCCCGGAGACCCGGGTCCTTCTTATGAGAGGCTCCTCCTCAGGATCGACTTCACTGTCAGGATGAGGCCTTTTGCCTCGTTCTTTGTCCCGAACGCCCCCCGCAGCAGCAGGAGCTGAGGTAGTTTGGGGAGACGCGCTCTGGTTGGCAGCAGGGGTGCTGACAACAGAGTTAATAACCACTGTGCTGGGGACAGTGTCAGAGATGGTGGCTGAGGAAGAGGCTGACGCTGGAGAGGAGGTCGCCCCAGCAGCAGGAGTGGCTGGGGGAGTATTTTTCTTCCTGCCAAAAGAAGGAATCTGAAGCCTGCTCATGTTGTAGCCGAGTGATGAGAGCGCTAAGAGGTTGTCTGAAGTGAGGAGATCTGAGCAGGAAGGAATATCGTTCAGAACGTATTTCTTCAAGTAATTACTCCTATCCCTGCAAACACTGTAGCTCAAGTCATCACAAGGTATTCCTAAGGAACGGCATAAGAAAGTACAAAAACGGGGAACGCATGTTTCGCAGGGGCAATCATGTTTATGAGATTTGAATTTCTTATAGGAGGAGACAGAACAGACACCAAAGGCGCTCGGGATTGGGTAACCCTCTGCAGCCGGCGAAGACCAAGACCCACTAATGCCCACGACGCTATCCCTCCAACCCTTTTCAGATTTTCTTGTGTCCGTACATATGGACATCTTCTCGAACGGGTAGAGGTGGTAGAAGGGTTCGTTAGTACGGATCTTACTGACCTTATAGCACAGAAGAAGGTCTATGAGGTCAAGGTCCAGATTTCTGTCACGCATCAACAAGAGCATAACGGATATGATTCTAAAGAAGTTGGGGTTGACCTGCAGGGGGGATATCCCCAATCTATTGAAGACATAACTAAAGAAAGGGTGCAGAGGGAACCTAACAACATTCAATTGAAGGTTCGTGAATAAGACTTCGCCGGGCAGGAGGCCGGCACCGGTCATAATGTTAACGTCCTGAGGGCAAACCCTAACTTCGATGTTGTCAGGAAGTCTAAGTCTCATACGAAGAACATCCAGATCTACAACCATGGTGAAAGTGCTTGAAGAATCTAAAAGGGGGTAAATGGAAGCCTGCCGAAAGTAAAAAGGAACAAAACTAACCTCAGAGGACTGCAAGATCGCTGGAAGAATGACTCTTGAAGGATTTCACCAGGAAAAGCTTAGCACTGTTCTAGAAAGAGAGAGATTTGACTGATGATGGAGACGGTAAAAGGACGTGAAGTGGTATTCTGGAGCCTTATAAAGGCGAGGGGGGCCCGAGGGCCGAAGCGTCGGGAATGCGAGAAATTCCTCGAGCCCCGGAACATTGATTCTGGATCTGACCGTCCGTTCCCCCACGTGGTTCTCTCGAGCCGTCAACGTCATGATGAGACGCCATCAATAATTACCCCTTATTAAATAAGGGGCAATTATGGGGGCAGTTGAGGAGGCCCAGGACGACATGGGCCGGATCTGACTTGCAAGCACTACATCCGGTCCGTACAGCTGGGTCAGCCCATATAAAGACACTGCCATATGGGCCGAACGCGAGGAAGCCCATCAAAGGTGACCAGGACTTATGGAGGAACAGGCCCAGATCCAGCAATCAGTCAATATTTGTAAATATCTTGTAAATATCTATAAATAAGGGAAGGAATGGAAAATAGATGAGGATCTCTTTGGTTGAAGTGTAAGAATTCTAGAGAGAGAAAGAGGGAATAAAAGAGAGAAAGAGGGAATGAATTTCTTGCATCTTCACTAAGGATGGCAATGGGGTGGGCAACGCCATCTCCATCCCTATCCCTTTTAGAATAGCTACCATCATTTTCGTCCTAAAATTATTTATTAAATGGGGCAACATGAGGTGGGGTGGGGACTTATTTTCGTAATTGTATTACGAACCTAAATAAATAACAAAATAATTTTCAAATAAGATAATAATATTTTTGTTAGAACATCAAAATAATATATAAAATTTCTTAAATAAGAATAACACAAAAGAATTTCTAAGTAATTGAAATAAAATAAATTATAATTTACGTAATATATATTTTAATATCATAAAATATAAATTAAAGTATTGCCAAATAACTTTTTTCTATCCCGGTTTCATATCCTAACCCCATCCCAACTTCAATATATTTAACCACTTCAAAAGAATCTAAACAGGAGGGAGGGGTCTGGTACCTGTCGTGTGTAGAGGAACTGTTAAGACGCGTAAAGTGGGACCAATGGAATGAAGACTCGGACGACTTGGAAAAGTTTTTGGCAGTGGTGGATTTTTCAACCCAAAAAAACCGAGATTAGGAGGACCATGCGTAGTGTCTGAATAGTCTTTGGCAGTACTACGGAACTTTAGTCCACATAATATTTAGACCACTTTCGTTCGGAAGTTCGAAGCTCAGATTGACTGATGTTGTAAGGGATGCTTATCTCGGATTCCGATTAAAAGATGAATGAATTTTTTTAGTAAATTACATATTATAATTGATATTGAAAGTCAATTCAATCTTTAATTTAGTATCATGTCAAATTTTTGACCCTAAAGTCGTCCGAACAGGATGACGTTGCAAAAAAATTTGTTCCACATCGAATCACTCATATCTTAGACTATCACAAGTTCTAAATTACGGCAACTGGGCGATTTTAAACTTTTAGTCCCCTTCTTTTACCTTATGCTGAATAATTGTACTAAATAATACTCGCAGCAGGTGCAGTAATGCACAGTGCACCAATAAGTTTATATCCTGTCAATCCAACTTTTTTCCTTTTTTGAAATCCCCAGTAATCTAAATTAAGTATTCAAATAAATATACTCTCTCAAATCCCAATTTGGATGTTGCTTTTGAAGAGTTGAAATTTTTAAAGAAATATGTGAAACAAACCTTGTCTTTTTCAAAAGTTACTAATTTGTCCTTCTAAAAATTGAATATTCAAGTTTGAAATTTTAAATTCCAAATCATATGAAAAGATGTAAAAAATATTGTTTGAAAAAAATTGAATATTCAAGTTTGAAATTTTAAATTCCAAGTCATATGAAAAGATGTAAAAAATATTGTTTGAAAAAAAAAAAATGACAAGTCTTTTGAAACAAACCAAAAAAAAAAGCATGACTTTTTTTTTTGAAACAGAAAAAGTAAATAACATTATTTTCAAAATTTTCAGTGTGGCTGACTGTGGTCAGACTATTATTTTGGAAATTCCATATTGATTGTTGCTTCGATGTTCTGAACCAGTCAGTCAATTGAGGGGAAAAAAACAAAATAGTTCGGGAGAATTTTATGCAACTAAGCCAGAAAAATTCATAAATTCATATGATACCTTTCCCACAAGAGAATTCAACTTCTCCCGTAGAATTCCAGTCTATTGAAAGATAAAAAAATAAAATAAAAGACAACCTTTTTTCTGTTTCTCCGAAATGGCCATTACTGTTACAAAAGAGAAGGGGGGCTAACAACTATATGCCGTAAAGGGTGAGCCACGTCGCCACCGCCAGCATGCTTGACAAACTCGGCGGGAGAGAGAAAAATGCCATGGCACACACAGACTATACTTACCTCCTCTCCCTTACTATATCTGTAAAGGAAACCTTCAATTCTTTTTCCATTGGGCCCATCTCCTCTTGTAGACACACAAGGCATATCGAGCATCGCTCTACTCACCATTTCACTTGTTCCCTTGTCGGTATTTGTGACTTTCACAGACGGATTCTCCACCACAGCTCCATCGGGGCTACCCAATTTCTCACTTTCTCCAGGGGCGACTACTGATTTCTGCTCACACAGAGAAGGGACACTGGCAGGGCTTTTTACTTCAGTGTATTTGTTCATTCCTTAAACGCAAACCAAAAATGCAAGAACATAAGGAGTTGAATACGAAATACAAATGCATAGCTAAATTTCCAAGTTATTCAAAACATTTATGGGTTCATTGTGAAAAGAATTATTGCATGATGAATTCCCAGTGAGAGAGGGAGTCATAATGTACTAAGAAGACTGATAGACAAATAGATTCCACTTGGGAACATCATGGAGGAAATATAAATCGTCAACACGCACGTACTAAAAAATAACATAAGTATTGTCAGCACTACAATATGATCTCCTCTAATGCATACTTAAAAACAGCATAGAACCAAACTCAATGTAGTAAGATTCCTTTCCCCACCCCAACCAAAACACACAAAAGAAGAGAGGGTGCAGGGGGGAGGGGGAACAAATATTCCCAGTAAGAACTCCATGTATGTGATAATGTCATGTGTGTCTGTCATTACTCTTCACATTTAACTATCGGCTTAGAATATCATCTGGTCGGATAGTCCACCTCTAAGCAAAGGATAGGGTAAAAAGAAAAAAACAAAATGAAAAAAGAAAAATCCTCTAATAACTCAGAAATGATATTTACAAATTTACAATTTCTCTACACTACACGCACGCACACCCATGAATGCTCACTATGGGGCTCAAACCCCCACCTCCCTTTTGAGGGAGGAGAGGTTTGACCAACTGGGCTAATGGCCCAGTAGTAGAACAAGACAAGATTTTATGTTCTATAACGGCCAAAAAACCTTGTTCCGTGGCAAGTATAGAGACACTTTGGGTTGATCTAGAGGAAATTTCTTCCTTAAAAGTTCGAGTCACAAGTTATTTCCAACATGGTTGTTTTTCTTGGCGAGAACCCGTACCATCTTATGTTGTAGTGACTGTAATGATTCCAAGTAATGATCTCTATCTAAACAAAATGTTTATTTGAAAGGAAAAAAAAAAATTAAAAAAAATAACTTTCTCCATATTTTTGTACAAAGGATAGTAGTAATTAGTAAAAGATTTAATTTAAATTCTTAACAAAATAACTGATTTCATATTAAGAAATCATGAGGTTTGAGTAACATGCGCTCCTCTTTAAGGTGGTAGAATAAACGCCATAGCAAGGCCCTAAGTTTTTCATTAAAAATAACTATATGTTAGCCATGTATGCCACCCCTCCTTCAAATGGCATAAAAGGAAGTCAGTCCTACCAAAGAAATTTTATCAACAAGCATCTTACTAGGTAATCATATTTATCTTTCACCAATTTGTAGCAGTACAAGGATGTTACAACTCTCAAAGCTGGTTCAAGACTTTAAGGTGAAACTTGTTTCCTAGACCAAAATATTAAATAAATAAAGTGAAGCCTGTACAAGACACTGATAATAAATAGTGTCAATTTGTGAGTTCAGTCAGTATGAATTTGTGCACAGTCTAACTGTACAATGCATATTATATTCAGGATACTGAGAAAAACTTAGCAATGCATTTGAGTTGACTGGAAAAGTATTATAAACTGCTTGAACATGATCTTCTTTAAAATATATATTTTTTTTAAGAAAAAGAAAAGGTAATGGGAGTATATTCTAGCTGAAAAGAACTTGGGAGCAAAACCTATACCATTTTAACTTAAGTAGGCTCTGATAAGTTGGTAAATACCCAGCCTTTTCCAGCTCCATATAGCATATAACATGAAGTTCATCTATAGCTCGCACTCAGATCATGAGGCAACACTCGGAAAAAAAATTACCGATCATGCATGAGAACATCCAAAATGTACACAACTTGACACTAAAATTACAGATATATCTTTTTTTCCGTAGTTAAAATTACAGATACGCAAATTACACAAAATCTAAAAGAGGACAAATATGAACTTTTTCATACAAAGAAGTATAATTAGCCAATGAATCAAGTACTTCAAAAATTAATGATTATACAAATTGGCTGCATGTTTGTTAGGCTCTGAATAACATCTCCATGTCTAAAATGTCCAAACTACTCGGGTCGTTATGAACTTAAAATTGAAACTCCAGTAAAGTAGCCTTAGAATTTACTAGCTAATTTTGAAGTGGCAATTAAAATATCCATATGCCTAGATCCATAACTCTACAACTTTCTATAAGCTAACTATTTCTAAGACTTCTTTAGATCTATCTAGGTACTACTGAGTAACCAAGATTTTGATGCAAAGAAATATATATGTGTGTAATATTTTATGCACAAATAAACAACGAAATAAAAATAATTATAGAAAGAATAACTAAAGCCTATCTCAAAAAATTAAAAACAAAAAGAACATATCAAATCTGGGTCAAACAACAAAAGGATAGAACAAGTAACAGGAACAAGTTGCAACAATCAAAATGAGGATACAAATAAACAGAAGTTCTGCCATTTTCACATAACAAACTAGAATAACATACTACATATATTATTTTTTAAGAGTAGAGAATTTTTTATACAACTATCAGTAGTTCATATAAAAATTTTAAGGGTCTGATATAAGTGGCTAGTTGATATAGGACTTAAGAGTCTATAATTAGAGTAACTTCTATACAATTAAATAATTTGAAACAGTCTAGACATTTAATTTAATAATAGTGTGGAAATTATTACACTCTTTGTAGGTTCAGTTTTGGAAATTTAATAGTAGTATATATGTAATTACATTCTTGTGAGTGTTATTACTGTGAAATATATAACATTTGTAATTGACAAATTTCAGTGTTAAAACGTGTCCAATCAAGTTGTAATTTTCTATTTTCTATTTACTTTTGAGTCTCGCAGTCGGAAGTAGAACAACTAAGTTCTTTTGAGTCTGGATGTTGGTCTCCGAAGCCGAACAACAAGTACGCACAGATAAACACAAAATAAAAATAAAAATAAAAATAGAAATAGAAAGAATAACTTTAGCCTATCCCAAAATATTAAAAACAAAAAGAACATATCAAATCTGGGTCAAACAACAAAAGGATAGAACATGTAACAGGAACAATTTACAGCAATCAGAATGAAGATACAAATAAACAGAAGTTCTGCCATTTTCACATAACAAATTAGAATAACATATTATTTTATTTTTAAGATCAATGATATTAAAGAATGTTGTTTGAGGGTTAAAGAGAATGTCATACCTTGAACTGGTTGAGACTCAGATTCAGAAATCCCAGAAGAACCAGTCCCTTGTGATCCAATTGAACCCTGTGATGATGATTGTGGGGGTAGTCCCTCCACACCCTTTTCCCTTTCGCCTTTCGATTCATTCCCGTCAGCACTGACAGCCCCTCCGACTGCTACAGAAACCCAATTCCTCTTCTGAAAAGGCGACGAAAACTCGCAGTTGCCATTAATGATCACAGAGCATTGAGTCTTTGCTCGAACATTTTCTCCGCCATTTTCTTCCGAATTTACCTGATCTCGAAACGTCCTCACATTCTTAAGCTTCTCTAACCTCTTCCTCTTCGCTTCCATGCGTCTCAGTGTCTGCAACTCCTTCCGCTTCCTCCACTCCTCTCCCGGCTCCGCCGGAAGCGAACATGTCCTTATCAGCGGCGCGTACGGAACAACCTGGGGCATAATTACCCTGTTGTTATCGTCTATCGTCGTCAAGTTTGATATCGATGACGAGCGACTTAGACTCGTCTCTCTCTTTGGGTCAACCCCAAATTGACCGTTCATTGACAGCCCAAGACTCAACTCTAGATCTTCTTCCTTCTCATGTGTTGTTTCTTCGAATTTTCTTGTCACTGAGTTTACAGAGTTGAATCTCTGTAACAGATCTCGAGGGTTCTCGTTCAACCGCAGAGAAACATCGTTGGTTCCTCTTTTTTTCGCAGTTTCCTCCATTGTGCACACCAGTATGATTGAAAATAACCTGAAATTAGTAAAATTCAGAGATACCCAGATGGATAATGCTGGTTAGAAAGTGAAAAATTCCAGCAGAATTACCCAGGAAAATTAGATGGAAAATCTAAGAAAGTTGAAAGATTTATGAGTTTCGCATATTCCATTGATTCGGAATAGGGTTCCCATGAAGCTCAGAGGATGTGATTCCGGATTTTCCCTCAGTTTCTCGGGAAAATATCGCCGGCGGAAAAGAGAGTGCCATGAGAGGGGAGGGAATCCAAAGATGGAAAAACAGGGGAAGAGAAAGTTGTAAGACAGGGATCTACTTTGCATATAATATAAGAAAAGGACAAAAGTACCCTCGACATTGAAACGAAAACGAACGAGAAGGGGACACGTGGTGGTGATGGAGAGCTCTGATTGACACGTGTGTTTGACAACCAGGTTACAGGACCACGCGAAACAAGCGTCGTAACCTTTTCCGAAAGGTGTCATAGGATTGGGTTTTCGATAATACACGTGGCTAGGAAATCTCGGACTAGTAAGACACGAGTCACGACGTCACTCACTATCTCTCCCTTTTTTCTTTTTCTTTTTTCTTTCTCTCTCTATTTTCTCGCTCTAAAATGTAGTGGATATATACAATAGCTGTCTTCCAGAAAAGCGCGACGTGGGAGCACAAAAGCCAGACACGTGGCCGACAAATTTACCTTTCGAGCTACAATCTAGTCTGTCCAGTCCAATGTGGGCTATGATATCCTACATGCATGGTTTTTTTAGTAGATTGTTGGAAATGTGATGGTAATTTTCGAAGATGTCTGTAAACCAAGAAGTAATTCAGAATAAAATTAATCTCGATGAGTATATACTCTTATGGTTGGGGCTGATCACGGATCGGTTTGATTTTTGGTAAAATTTAAATTAATTTGTTCTTTACGAATTGACTAAATTTGAAATCGAATTGATCCGTAAAAATTATCAGTCCGAACCAAATCGAACAGTAAAATAATGGATTGTTTTGGTTCGATTCTCACAAATTGAGTATTTTTAAATAACCCAATATAATTATATTATAGTTATGTCCAACCCAATATATAATTATATTTTATTATTTTAGATATGACTCAGCCAAATAATAAATCTGTCAAAATAGTGTGTTGAACATTTAATCTAAAAAAAAAACAGTAAAAAAGTGAGTGATGGAGATTTGCAATAATTTTTCAGTTGTTATGGTAATGTAAATTAATAAATGGTTTCTTCTGTAGATAAGGAACAAAGAGAGAGTCGATAGACATGCAGAGAGTCAAAGGCTGGGAGTAGAAAACCTAGGATTAGATATGCTTATGTAGGGCTAAAATTTAAAAGCAAATAATGAATAAAAAAATAAATAAATAAAAATAATATATTACCGTATACATATAATTTTGACGAAATGAACCAAAAAATGAACCAATTGGTTCGAATTGATGGAAAAATGAACCAAACCACATAGATCGAATTGGTTCGGATCGATTTGACGAATTAGTGGATTATTTGAACACCTCTATTGATGAGACGTGAATTAATAATAAATGGATACCTTCTCGTTAATTAGAGATAGTGGAGGTACATATTCTCTTACCAAATTTAAGATAGTGGGTGCATACTGATTTACCAAATTCGAAATGGTAAGCACACCATCTCCAATTTGACAGTGAAAGGAGACAAATTTATTTGTTATTAATCCGCATCAATGGTCAAGATGGAATACATTCTTATTAGTGAGAATCTTAGTATTGTCCATTAAAAATAGTAATGGTGTACATCCTCACTGATAGGGATTTAAGTTTTTAGTATTAAACAAATAATTTTAATATATTAATTTTGCAACAAAAATTATAAAAATGACTGTTGTTCCAAAATTCTGTTAGAGTGTTTTGGGAATCCAACTTTTTAGAGTAATGGTTTTAACTATTTTTTTTTATTGCATTAATAAGAGTAAAATTTTAAATTTATCAATAGGACTCTATAATTAGTGTATTTATTTAATCAAATTAATGTTAGGAAGATAATTTTAAAATGTTATAAAAAATAGGATATTTATTTTAAGAATTGGACATTCCAAAATAAAATAGAGAATATATATTTTTTACTGGAATATGATATTGTTAATTTTGCAATGAAAAAGGAGATAAAAGGTAAAGCATACGGGATTACTTGGAGTACGATAATAGCTTTATAATTTATATACCAATAATGTAAAATATAAATAAATATATACTCCGAACGTTGATGATTGATAATAATTGAGAATATTTTTTTTTTATATTTATTATCCCGTAATAGATCGAGACAAAAGGGTGCCTAGAATCACACTCACACTGATTTTATATAATCAAATTAAATACTTTAGAATAAGTTTTGACCAAATAAAGTTAGATTAACGACTAATAAATTGTTAACTAGATTATATTTTATTAATGAACCAGGAATAATTATATGTCCAATTGGGATAGAACGAATCATCTTACGACACGCAAGAGAAAAAAAATCAAGGAGGAGATGCAGCAGTGGGACCCAAGCTCATCAACTTGCACTTTAGAAATTGTTATCAGTATTCTGGGTGACTGCCACGTGGAGGATGGTAGTTACAACTTGCCCAACGAAACGTAATGTTTTGTTGATGGAAAATGATGTGTAATAAGGTTGTTGTAAGGGACCCAGCTGTCAAATATTTAATGCTCCGTATAATGTTTATTTTGACGCTTTACTTTTTGCTATTTCCCTCCTATTGCGCTTTTTTATTTAGGGTAATTTATACATATTTCTGTTATGATTTATCATAATTACAAACGACATCTTTCTTGTTTCAAAAATTATGCAGGCTTTTTTTACTTTTTAAAATATTCTATACGAATCTTCATTTTATTAGAGTCAACGATAATTATCGATGAAAAATAATGACATCAGCTATTATTTTTCATGAAATGTCGAAAATACCATTGTCTATATTATTTCATATTATATTTAAAATTATATATATATATATATATGATATAATTTCATATTATATACTACCAGAATATTTATCTCTCCTCGCACATCATCACAAAACCCAATTCATGAACCTGGTCTCGAAAAACCTAATTCCGGCAAAATGAATGGTGGCTGCGAATTGGGTTTGATCTGTGTGATTCTGTTTTTATTTTGGAAATCAAAATTGGGTTTGATCTATGTGATTTGGTTGTTATTTTAGAAATCAAAATTGCAATTGGGTTTGATCCGTGTGACAGAACCTGGTCATGAAGAACCCAATTTTAGTGTTATTATTTTGTTTTGTTTAATATTAATTATTTTAAATTAATTTAAGAATTGATCTAATATATATTTTTTACCGAATTGAATGAAAAAGATAACTATACATTTCCTAAGCCGGAGAAGCAAGAATCGCCGGAGTTTGCGTCACATCGATTTACAATCACGCCCTTGCTTTGTCCCCCTTTCTCTCTCTCTCTTCCAATTGAATGATTGATTATTTCCTTTTTCTCCCAAAAACCCAATCTTTATCTTTCCTAGCTTTTCATTCTATCAATTTTCGTTGATCTTTGTCTTTATTGTTTCCAATTTTGTTGATTTCCAATTTTGTTGTTTCCATTTTTTTTTTTTGAGTTTTCCCATTTTTTTTTTTTCTTAATCAAAGTTGTAGTAGTAATTTCTGGTTTTTTTTCTTTGTTGTTTCCAATTTCGTTGATTTTTGTTCTTTATTTGTTTTCAGTTTCCCCATTTGTTTGTGAATATGAAACTTCTGGTGCATGTAATTGAAGCACGAAACATACATGCAATGGATCCAAATGGGTTCGTCAGATCCATATGTGAAATTACAGTTGGGGAAGCAGAAATTTAGGACCAAAGTGATTAAGAAGTGTTGATGTCATGCTTACTCAATAATTTATGGGTAGTTTAGTAATTTTAGTTGCCAATGAGAGAGTATTTTAGTAATTTTAACAAGTCCGTTAGTGTATTTAACTGTCCGTCACACATTAGGGAGGTCCATGTAGGATATTTTTAAAAGTAGGGGAGGTCCGTGTAATTTCTGAAACAGAAAGGGTGCCGCCTGTAATTATGACAAATCATAGGAAAGGTCTGTGTAAATTACCCTTTTATTTATCGGGTAATTTGCACTCAAACCCCTTGAGGTTTGGGTGAAAATCACTTAACCACCGGTCAACGCAATAGATTACATCGACATTTCTTAATTTTCAAAAGTGTTCATACACACCCCGACTACATGAGAAAATAATTATTTTAACCTTTAACTTGGTCAACAAATACACAAAAAGTATAAATTACTAATATAACCCTATAAACTAAACTTTACAGGATTAAAATACCCTTCATTTTACATCTTTCTCTAACCCTACACAATACACCTCTACCTTCAAGGTTCGACAACAAATGCTCTAGTAGAAAATAATGCTTGGAGGCGGTGCCGTTAAAGAGAGGTTTGGCAACCGCGAGGTTGGAGGAAAGCTTAGAGGCGACGACGTCGAAGAAGAGGTTTTCTTGGAGTAGGAGAATAGCGCTAGCCGACGTCCCCAACGACGAGTCACCATTGTGAAGGAATTGCCAATTTGCTCCCTTCGATTTGAAGCGTCAACACGTCGAGGATGTCTCAATCGTGACCGCCGTCGAAGAGAAAAAGTCGTTGCCCTTGGATGAGCCACTGTTCGACTGATTCACTCAACCAACCGCTAGAATTGATGGTGTCGAGCGACAGTGGTGCTGTCCCGTCAAAGAGAAAAAGTCGTTGCCCTTGGATGAGCCACTGTTCGACTGATTCACTCAACCAACCGCTAGAATTGATGGTGTCGAGCGACAGTGGTGCTGTCTAGAGACGTTAAGGTATTGTGGTGGTGGCGGATTCGATGATTTTGGCCTAGTCGGAGTTGGTGATTTTCGACAATTGCTCTACGACGAAGTATTTGGGCGAGTTTGACCTTGAGCGAGAATGGGTTCGTCTTGGGGTGTGTGTGCGCATGTGGGTGTGGTAGTGTGTGTGGGTGTGGCGGCGGTGGTTTGTGGCACTAGTTGTGGTGTCGGTGATGGCACTGCAACTATATAACGGTGGTTATGTGCATGGGTGTGGAGGTAGAGGTGGTTGTGGTTGTGGCGGTATGGGTGTGACGGTGTGGGTGCATGGGTGTGACAGTGGTTATGGCTATGGATGTGCGGTGGCAGTGCAGGTGGCTGTGTATGGGTGCGGCGGTGGTGGGTTGGAAGGGACTAAGAATATTGATTAGGGGTTATTTTTGTCAATTAACAGGTTCCAGGGTAAATATAACTTTTGAATCTATAGGGAGTGTCAATGTAAACTAATGTGTTGATCCGCTGCTAAGTAGTGTTGACTCAAACCTCAAGATTTATGAGTGCAAATTACCCTTATTTATTTTTAATTTCTCTATAAATTAAATCTCACATGCTTTTGAGAATACTTGAACACTTTTAGAAAGAAAAAAAAAATGTCATTACACTACTAGTTTTTATATAAATTATGGTACATAATTATGCAAGGAGATATTTGACACAGGCTTGCATATATATCATTTTATTATTGCTATATTTATTCAATCAAAATTTATTAGGTGGGCATACCAAACATGGTTATGAGCTTATGCCACAGGCTTGAAATTTATATATACACAAAAGAAATAAAAAATACAACAATTATTAGATAACATAGGGTATGGACAAATTTAATGGATGAGGCTCTTGTTATTACGAATCCAAAAGAAGGTCAAATATGTAATTTTATAAATTTATATCATTTTAGTTAAAAATTAAATTTGAGGTGAAAAAAATAAAAGACAAATTTGATACCTTATAACATGTCATGAAGACTTGAATTTAATTCTGTTAACTTATTTAATTTATTTAATTAATTATGTCATGTTGGAATTCAAGTGATTGTCACAAGTCAACTTGACAAGAAACTAACCCCTTTCAACATGTATGATAAGTAATATATTTAAATTAATATGCTACTACAATGATCGTATATATTATGATTAATATGTGGTTTATAACTTTTTAATGCATTAATTTAATGTTTATATATATATGTGTGCGCGCGCGGGGCATCTTATATTTAATAAAAAATAATAAATAAATTGTTATAAGTGTGTCATAATCTCGCGGTGTTGTTTATTTAATAAATTGTTCCTATAAAAAACACATGTCTTGTTTATTAAATGATTTTGAAATTAATAATACCTCCCAACATTATTACATAATTGCAGGATCAGTAATCCGGATCAATCATAAATCAGAGTATTCGAATGTTGGAAGGGAGGTGGATGTAATGTCGTTTTACGAATGGCAATGTCTTACAGAACTCCATATAATTGTACTATGCAGTTATCTCACGGGTTGCTTAATCTTTAATTTTAGGTACAACAATCAAACAATGTCCTTTATTTATTTATAATATTAAAAGTAAAATGTGAATATTACATTCTTATATTATGCGCATGCGTGTTTTATACGATGGTGTGTAGTGTAGGGTTGTGGATGCGGCTTATGTGGATCCAGACAATTTTGAGTAAAAAATTTACTAGTTATGCGTATGTTAGGGTCAATACAGTTGAAAAAAAGAAAAGAAAAAAAGAGTAATGCATAAGTTTGTGTGTATATGTTAGTATCCAGACAATTTTGAGTAAAAAAATTACTCGTTATGCGTATGTTAGGGTCAATACAGTGGGAAAAAAAAAAAAAAAAGAAAAAAAGAAAAAAAGAAAAAAGAGTAATGCATAAGTTTGTGTGATTATGTTATACTTACTAAAAAAAAAAAGTTTTTAACCTCTCAAATAGTTTTATACATCTATACTATTATTAAATATGCAAAGTATTTTAGTATTTTAGTATTTATTTATATATATATATGTATAGTAATGTTCAATTGCTCCCCGGTGAGCAAGAAAAAGTATGTTTACTTTCAATTATAGTTGTAGGATCTAATCCTACTGCTAATATAATCCTTGCATTGTTTTTGGAGGGTGATATTATTTGAATTAGTAATTAATTATAATTAAAGTATAATTACTATAATAGAGAGTTTCATAAAAAGAAAAAAAAAAAAAAATCAATTTTGTTTTTCTCTATCAATTAAACACGTCTTCAAATCCTAAATGAATTTACTACCTAATTAGCATCACATGAATTTATTTTTATTTTTTTTTTATTTTTTTTTATTTTTTTTAAAAAAAAAGATAACAAGCTAAGGAAGAGTATATAACAAGAATTTTTTTTTTTGTTTGGCCAGAATATGAAGACATATTTAATTGATAGGGAAAAATAAGATTAGCAAAAATAATAATAAATAAATAAATAAAAATTTTCTTGTTATATTCTTCCTTAACTTCTTATCTTTCAAAAAAAAAAAAAAAAAATTCATATATAATTTCGATGAAAATAATATTCTTCCAGTCACGGTTAATCAACCAAATTTTAAAAAGTTGTATCAAACAAAATTAATTTATTTCCTCTTATGAAAGAAATTACTATTGTCACTTGACCTTAATTGTAATTAATTACTAATTCAAATAATATCAGTCTCCTAAAATAGTACAAGGATTATATTAACTGTAGGATTAGATCCTAAGACTATAATCCTGCTCACCGGATAGCAATTGAACATTACTTTATATATATATATATATATATATATATATATATATCATTTTAAAAGATGAAGTAGTGAAGAGAATTGAGAAAATGGGCTAGTGATATCATTTTGCTCCTTTACATAATAAAACACCCCTTTCTTTTTTTAGTAATTTTCCCATAATATACATAATAAGATGTTCATTTTAATAGAAGTTTAGTAATTGTTTATCTTGTCCCTTTACATTATCGTATGACATTAATAGTTCTTTCAATTTGAAAATGTTGTGTGTGTGTATTTTTTTTCTTTTCAAAAAGAAGAAAGGTGATTGGTACACCCGAAAGGTCAATACAGCATTTTCCATTTCCTTTGTTCTCATCCAATGTCTTCCGTTTTTGACACTTTTACAAACTGAAACCTTTCTAAAGTTGAGCACGTGTTTTCAAAATAATTAATGTATAAATTTTGTCATTTGTGAGAGAAATTATTATATGGCTTGGATGGTTTTGGCCAATAACTATTTAAAAGACAAATTTATATTTGTTGTAAAATAAATCTCTTCAATCAATTCCCTATTAATTACAAGATTTTATATAAAACTTAGATTAACTAACCACCAAATATAAATTAAAACCAAAATGAGAGAAAGTTGCTTAATATAAGGTAAAGTTTTTAAAATAATTAAAGAGAAATCAAAATTTCCCTATCAATTATAAAGCTTAGATTAACTAACCATCAAATATAAATTAAAACAAATATAAGAAAGTTGCTGAAAATAGAGTAAAAGTTTTTGAAATAACAAAAAGAAATCAAAATTTGCTATAAAATTTTCATTCAGGTGAATTTTTATTTTAGAGCAAAAATGTTAGATTAAAAGTTAGAGGTGCGAAAACATGAAAAACTAGATCCCCTATGACAATAAAGGGCAACCCGACCTAGCACTAATTGATCAACCAATGATATATATTTTACCTAGCAGCTTATTTTCCAAGCTGCAAGTGAGGTAGGAAAAGTATGGGCGACGCATTTACTCATTATTGAAGTTAGCTTGTCAATCAAATTTTATTCTTTTTATGCATTCACGTTTGCTTCCAAATTTTCATCAAGTCTGTGTCAAGTAAACTCATGCATGGATGTTTTTTTGTTCAAAGTGCGGATAAGAGAGTATATTTAATATTTATGATAGTTTATTTATTTATTTATTTATTTTTTCAATTTCATTAACTACTAAACATTGATTGTACATTTGGTACAACCAACCCCTATATATTATGATAGAAAAATGATACCAACTTGACAATCAATTGTATTGAGTAAATAAATATTAATAACTAATTAAAACAACAGAAGTGTTTAATGTGAGTCATTTATGCAAGTTTGAGGGCTTAATTGCAATTTCAAGAAAGAAACATAGTTGGCGTTCAACAAACATACAAGAACTCTAAGGGAACACTAAATAGAGTTCGTAGCATTAGAAGTGAAAACATTTTACTGAATGTCCAACATGGATGATGATTGTTGTCACTATAAAAGCAGAGGCTGAAAAGAAGAACCCAAATGATATTTCCATTAATTTATCTACTAAAAGTTAAAGATCTACCGTTTCTACATTGATACTACAATTCTTCAACTTCAGTAAAACAATTAACTTAAATTTCCAAAATCAGGAAGATGAAATAAAAATTCCGCCAAGTTACATTCTAACTGTGAGATGGAGCCACCCTACGCAAAATTCTGTCAAAAAAATTGCTGAAACTAAACTAAATGCCTTTTTGGCGTTGAGGTAACCTCGAACTCCGACTCAAAAAGTTTCTTTCCAATACGGTAGATACGATTGAATCACCTACTCTCTACCAGTACTGGCAAGATAATCATGTTTGTCATAAAAACAAAAAGAAAAATGTCATCAAAGAATCTCCATGCACGGTTTCATGCTTGAATAGCATTCTGATATGCTCCACCTCGACGCCCACCTCTCCCTCTTCCTTGTTGATAACCTTCACCATTGCGTCCACCTGGACCTCTACCTCTGCCTGAAAAGTCACCCCGGTTTCCGAAGTCATTTCTTCCATAACCTCGACCGCCACCGAAGTTCCCACGGCCCCTGAAGCTGTCATTTCGAAATCCCCCTCTTCCAGAAGGAAGCCTAGCTCTCCCACCACCAACTGCAAGAACCAGTAACAAGGCCAGCCATATCATATACTACGAAACTTCTTCATTATAGAAGTTGACCAGTAATCAACCACTACTAACAAATTATGGCCTCTTCTTACAATAAAGAAACTTCAAATATGTTGAATTCTTTATATATACAAGATTCAGGTAGGAAAGAGCACAAATATACACTTCCTCTTACCTCGAGTGGTGGTTCTCTTTATCTCGACAACAGCTTGACGACCCCCAATTGTAATAGGTGAAGCCTGAAATTTTACATCAACGAACAAATATGAAAACCAAAAGTAATAAAGGAGCAAAACAATATGCTTCAAAGTTCACAAGTGCAATAGAACTTTGAAACAAACAAGAAAAATGTATTAAATAAACAGCACTGATTAAAGAAGGAAGCAATATCAAGGGAAAAAAGAACAAAAAAAAATTTGATGGTTGACTATTTTTTGATAAACTGACTCCAAAATAGTCAAAACAAGGTCCAGTTTCATATAAAACCATTTTAAGATTCTCTGACAAGCCGCTTCTATTTTCAGTTTTCAGACTTCTTGAAATTGTTTTGAGAAAAATGAACCAGACAAGAACTAAGAGTTTATACAAGTGTCCGGTCAAGTAAACACTGAGACTATGTCAGCCGTCTAAGCCTAGTATCAAGTTGCAACAAGAAAGGAACTTCAAAAATCTAGAGATAGTCAGCTAACTATTTCTGAGTATTTTCATCTTAAATTATACTTTTGAGTATTGAATTATATATCAACCAGCTTAGAGAGAAATGGAACTTACCAAGTGCATCGAGCATACCATATCATATATAAGGTTATATGGCTCAAAAATCTTATTTCTTATATTTCAAATTTGTGTCTTCATAAATGCATGTATTTGCAAACACTGTTGCTACTTTATCAAAGTTTCCCCCACTCAACCTACTTTTGACACTTCAGGCACCTTTACAAACTCATGACTTACTATAAGCCATATCAGTTTTTGCATTAACATTGACATCTAAAGGGCAATAATGCTAAGTATTAAAACGTGATACTTCTTAGGATTGTGAATCATCCCCAAAACAATCAAGAAAAATATACAAGGCAATCCTATGATCTCTTTAATCAACAGTAAACAGACACAAGGGCTCGTTGTATAATGCCGTGCTGAGTGTATATCCTACCTAGGTCACATAATCCACCTAAGAGTCCTGTGCTCCAGCTTTCAATTTGTGGTTTCAGGAATTTGGAGTGGATTAATGATGAATTTGCAGTTTGGAGATTCTAGGAGTGGATTGAGATTCATTGGAATGCAGATCCTACATGGTCCAAATTTGAACCATTAATAGCTAATTCAAGCACTATTAATGGACTCAAGAACACCATATCACTTACCATGAGCCCATTCAATGCAATTTCAATAATCTAGTGAGCACCAGATCACTTCTGTAGTAAAACAACTTTATGAAATTCTATAACAAGAAGACTCAATTTGTTTGGAACATTATGTATCATTTACTATTTTCTATTACTTAATGACTCTTAACAGAATAGCACTCAATTCTTTTATATTTTCTTAAATCCTTCATTAGTGATAATATTTATATGTAATAAAATATTATTTATTAAGCATTCAAAAATTATTTATATAAAAAATTTAGAAATTGACGTTCTGAAATACAACCACTCTAAAAACAATTCTCTCGAATTTTCCCACTCCCATTATAATTCTACGTGACTTGGGGACTAGGGTATGCCTATCTACAATAGTGAATGAACCTCAAAGAACCTACAGGCTACACCAACCACCACCAAAGCTTTTTTTCCCAACCTACAACAACCTCAAAGAAACATTCTTTACTATAAAAATAAAATAAAATAAAAAGAAGAAGAAGAAGAAGAAGGTCAAGCTAGGGGATAGACATAAATAATTCTGCTCAAGAGAAGCTTTTTTTTTTTTTTTTTTTTTTTTTTCTCACTCCAACTATTTGGGGTTGGCTACATGAATCTACTCTAACTAATACTATTTCAACCATTTCATTAATATAAATAGGGGCAAGCATGATAATGCTAAATCCAACACCAATAAAAGCACAGAAAATACTAATTCCAAAAAAGAAAATGAAATAAAACAGTGCCAAAAACAGGACTCCCATCCCCCTTTTCCGATATAAAAAGAACCCAAAATAAACAAATTATTAAATAAATTGAAAAGTGATTGTAACTAGTTGTATATATGAAGTAACCATGTCTCTTTGCCACATCACCAGACTTGCACATGAGCACGGTTCACTTTTAGCAGTCATGTACCTTTTTATTTGTCTTTTGTGATATGATTGTGGGCTACTGGTTTACATGATGTGAATTACAGTGACCTCAAAATCTCCAACCCAGGGGAGACCACACACTGTAAGGACAAGGGTTTTCTAAGCTGACTTCAACAAGTGTTGAGATATAAGGACTAATTGCCTAGCAATGTCCTAGTAGTACTACCAGCTAAATTATATAACAAAATTAAAAATAGGAAAATGCCATTTGCAGAGCACACACCTGAATTGCACTGTGCATGGAGGCCAAATCTTGAAATTCAACAAAGCCAAAACAGAAACCCTCTTGCTGGAATAACGGGAAATGAAACAAATCATATTGAAAATAATTTTTAAAAAATAAGAAAAACATAAACCGAGTACCAAACTACATGCCGTACATGTGTGTACAAAACAAACCTTATGACTTCTGACTTGGACACCTCCTTGTTTAATAGGTCCAAATTTCTTGAACTCCATCTCAAGCTGAGCAACCATCACATTTAGAGGCAAATTACGGATATAGACAGAGTGGCCTTCAACTATAAGGAGCAAAATGTAGCAGTCAAAATTGCAGGGCATTTTTCGGGGAAAAAATGATGTATTGTTAATCATGATGACACAAACAGTTCCGACAAACAGATTTCACAGCACAAACACTACTACACGTTGGTCAAAAGCAAAGATGCACTGAAGTTTGTTTTCATTCATAGGTGTACACAAGTGTTTGGAAAGGAAAGGAAAGGAAAGGAACAATATGTTTTCATAAGAAGATATATACCTTCTTCTTGAGCGTTCCTACCTTCAGGTGCATTTATGCTGCTAGGGGCTGACGCTTCGGGCTCTGGAGCATGCGTGGCCAAACCAATTGACTGTTTGTCAGTCTTCATAGGAAGCATTCTTGAAGTATTAGCTGGTACGAAAACTTTAATAGGTCCTGAACTCCCTTTTTTTGTTTGTGAACTTACAATTGACGCATAAGATACCTTCTTCGGAGCATCTTCTTGGGCAGTAGAAGAGGCTGATTCGGGAACTGCGGAAACGTGATTCTCATTTGAATGAGATTCAGAATCCACAACCACCTCTTTTTCATTCACCAATTGTTTTTCGTTGTCCAATGGGTCACGGGCTTTCACGTCAACATTTTGAACCTCCTCTACGAGAGAAGATGCCGGATCCAGCATTGGAGGATCAAGAACACGAGCAGGCTCTGGAACATAATGAAAATGTTGCCAAAACTTTGTTCTAGACAATGTCAAAAACTTGAAGGAAAAAAAAAAAGATATAACATTCAACCTGGAACTGGGGTTATGATTGCTGATTGAGTGTCGTCAGTTCCATTAATTGTCACTGTATTACTTTCAAATAGGCCACTTTCCTCTACATACCTAAAAACATCGTTCAAAACAAAATACCCTTTATCTTGAGGAGCAAGGAAAAATGTTTGCGCAAATTTCCTTCTTAGATTGTCCTTCCCAGTTAAGCACCCAGTTACTAAAACAATCACACCACTGTTGTAAGAGTCCTGAGCATCTGCAGTTTTTATCTCAGCCTTGAAGTTCTTGTAATCCAAAGAACAAATCTTGTCGTTGATTCCCTGCTCCAAGGAAAATTTATATCTTGAAACAATATGATACTCAATTCAAATACCTCTGAAATAAATGCTCTAATAAAATAAACTGAAATATTATAAATAAATAAATTGACGGAAATTAATCAACAAGAGAAAGAGGAGCACAAAGCCCAATGAGAACAAACAACCAGATGATTTAACTGTCATGTTCTCAACATGTTGAATTGAAAAACCTCTCGATGTTGCAAGTCAAGGGAACCTCCACAAATCAAGACATAGAATCTCAAAAATGGCATAGCTGAAGTTAGATTGACATATAAAATTACTCATATTTAATTTCGTTCATTTCTCTGAACTAGTAATCGTTGAAAAAACATCGCCTGTCCCTGATACACTGGTCAAGATATTAATGAGTCATGCGCAAACCTTGAAGGAGCAAACCCCTAAAATCGTGCAATGGGATAATTCTTACAAGCATTGTTTAATTTGTTTGTACCCACATCTTAACAATAACATTTATAATTTGGGGTTGGCATAATGAAAACTCTGGAACAAGTCAAGGCCAGTTGCATATAGCATATGGTAGTATATAATTTGTGGCTAATTAGTGCCACAAATTTTGGCATGAGCAAAGGACGCAGTACTGTTGAAGCACTTCAATAGCTTTTCAGACAATAATGAATCATCACCATCAAAGGGAACAGCAATAACCCTTAAAGAATTTTAAAAAATAATAATATTATTAATCTTTTGCCTGAGCAGAATGGCAAACCAAATAGTTGGGAAAAGGCTTTGTTGAGTTTAATAGTAAGTTTTTGCCACTTAGATATAATATTATTTGCTCTGATAATGATAAATAACTGGTGGTATTCATCTAAAGATCCCATAAAGGAGAAACCATCAGCAATTGAAAACATTATCTATCGGATTCCCCAACTTACTTTCATGGTTGTAACTGATGTCATTACACCACTGGAATCTGGCCGGCTTAGCACGCTTGCATCTTGATAAAATCTGTAAACCAAATCTGGGGAGCGGTGAAGAATATGGTAATACTGCTCGACAAAAGCATTTCCAACCACCTGGGCAGTAGGAGCACTTGCCGTTTGCATTGCCATTCTACAGAAAATACAAACAAAACCATATTGAATCAAAATTATCTCTTATTTGTTTTAGCAAAGCATACATAAAATATAAATAAAGAATCAAAAACATTTAACAAGTAATTCTAACATAAACAAAACAAGAAACATTAAAGCCAACGAAGTACATTACTATAAGCAGATAAGATGGAGAAATAAGAATAAATTAGTCCTACTTTGAAATATTCTATCTAAATAGAAACACACTTAACAAACTTGAGATCAGATTAACACTAAAAGGACAAACAAATTTGAGATAAGATTAACACTAAAAGGACAATCAATGTGACCCATTAACAACCATAATTTAGTTGATAGGAAATCGAAGTTTGAAGAAGGTGACCTCGTCTACAACAAACTTACATAAATACAATGGATGATGTTTGAAACCCAATCACCTAAAACCCTAACTCTTGAACCGAAAACCTAAACCCAAGGCAAAACGATACCAATCCAAAGGCATTCCTGATTAGCTTCGTGGAAAAATTGCTTTTAGAAGCGAAAAGGATGATGTGTATTACTAACAAACAGGATTTTAGTCAACAGGTAACTGAATGCAAAATCCCCCTATTCATAAACCAAAACCCTAAATATCAATACATAATGGTCAAAATCCATAAGAATATAACATGGGAAATAAAAGCCAGAGAACTAACCCAATCAGAAATGATATTCCAAACCATTGGCTCAGCAGAACAAAAACACAGTTTCAAACAGCAAAGCAAAAATAAACAAAATCAGAGAAAACGGAAAAGAGAAAAAGGGATTGAAACACAAGACACCATACTCTCATAGAAACCCTAAAAGCATCTCTCTTTCATAATACAAATACCAAATCATCAAATTGAAATAAAGTGAGTTTTTTGAGCTAAACCACAACAACATCTCGAAACCTATCACACAAAGCCAGCATTAGATCCCTCGAGCAAACCCCGGATCTACATATTACAGAATTCAAAAATAAAACTAAAAAGTGAAACAAAAATGAATAAATTCGAAAGATACATTAGTGAATCAAGCAATTATTGAGGGCGAATCTACAATAAATATAAAAATAAATAAAAAATCTGAACTGCTACATTAAAAATTCCTATAATGGCTGATCATGAAGAATAAAGATTAAAATATATACATATACATATACAGGTATATATATATATATATAAAGAAAAGCTTAACATAAATACGACAATGAATGAATGGAACAAATAAGCATGATTTTGATAATCTAGGCATGTGCACTTTCTTAAAGTTGGAAACGGATAATACATTTAAGTACCTGCTTTACGGGAATGTTCGAGTGCGACCGAAGAGAGGAAGAGAGAGAAGGACGATAAGAAGCTGGAATCAGTGTTTTCGAAGAAGTACAAAGAGAGGAGTTTTTAGAGAGAGAAAGGAAGGAACTGTAATCGCACGGAAAAGGGCGGATACGAAAGCTACCTGCGACTTTTATGATCCAATTGGGGAAAGGAAAGCTTAGAGGGTAGACTTAAAAAGGGTTAAGTACCCAAACATTGGGGGTATTATCTGCTTTTATATATATATATATAAATCATATCGTCAATAACTGTTGAAAATTAAATGAATTGTGAAAAAAGAAAAAATCTGAGCTATCAAATCTTTTACAAATAACCCCTTTTATTATACTAGTTGGTTTTCATTTTTTTTTTTTTTTTTTAATTTCTATTTCCTTACCGTGGGTATTTATGTAATTTTATGGTCTCTTAATGCATATTGACTGATTGAGGTTGTTTGTCGCAAAAAAAAAAAAAAAAAAACTGAGGAGGCCCAGGACGACATGGGCCGAATCTGACTTGCAAGCACGACATCCGGTCCGTACAGCTGGGTCGGCCCATAAAAAGACACTGCCATATAGGCCGAACGCGAATAAGCCCATCAAAGGTGACCAGAACTTATGGAGGAACAGGCCCAGATCCAGCAATCCGTCAATATTTGTAAATATCTTGTAAATATCTATAAATAAGGGAAGGAATGGAAAGAATAGGAGGATCTTTTGGTTGAAGCGTAAGAATTCTAGAGAGAGAAAGAGGGTATGAATTTCTTGCATCTTCAATTGGCGCCGTCTGTGGGAATCGCATGGAAGTTTGGTTGATCAATGAGGAATATCGAGTGGATTCAGACCAATTCGGTTGATCGAGACTCGATCTTTGGGATTTGGATCCAGATCTGAGCGATTGTGACCTACTTTGGAGGAATTACAATTCTTGAAGCTTTGGCAGAAGTGGCTTCAGATCTACGCAACAACGAGTTGTTCGATTGTGGCAGGATCTGACAGATTTAGAGTTCAGACAATTCAGATCTCGTAAACGGTGAGCATAATTCGGAGAATTCGAAACCAGATCTGAAAAATTCCCACTCACGAAGCTCGGATCTACTCGCGAACTTGAGATTAATGCCTTTACTCCGTTCAGGAATAATGATAGGTGAAAGCTCCAATCCGATGGAGGCTGTCCAGCAAACAAAGCTTGAGGAGTTGATGAACTTGATTGAAGCTCTCAAAAAAGAGAATGCAGAATTGAAAGCTGGAATGCAACATCAGCAAATACCTGCGGTTTCGCATCCACTTCCGGTCGGTGAAGGAGGTGTTCAATCTAATATCGCGCGTCAAGGCGAGCAGGACGAGAACAATCAGTCAGCTCACCACCGTGATAAAAGGATGATGGACAATTTGCCGCCAAATGTTCGTCGAGTTGAGGATCACGAAGGATCGACTCACGTTGATCCGCGACATGAGCAGATTAGACGGAATGAAGCCATAACCTTCGATCCGCATCGGGAAAGGTTCGACCGAGAGGAAGTGATAGAGGTTGATCGCCGTCGAGTAGCGTCGCCTTGGCAAAGAGAGTTCATAGAGGAACGGTCGTTCGATCCGTCTTACCGGCCCTCCATGGCTACTATCACTCATCGCGGTTCGGAGGGCAGAACCGTAACTCACAGAGCTACCGCTGGACTCCAGAGAGAGAATGAAGCTCTCCGATCCGCAGCTCGGACGGTTGATTCACCATTCACCGACGAGATCTTGAATGCCCCGCATCCAAGGAAGTTTGCTATGCCAGTCTTTATTCTGTTTGACGGAACAACCGATCCGATCGATCATGTGTACCATATCCAGTTGAAAATGGCCCTGAATACGGAAAACGACTCTTTAATGTGCAAATGTTTCCCTACAAGCCTAGCCGGACCGGCGCTTAGCTGGTTCAAAAACTTGCCTAGGAGCTCCATTGGTAGCTTCAGAAACCTGTGCGATCGGTTCATAAGCCAGTACTATGGGAACAAGCGCCCGCCGAAGGACATCTCGAGCCTATTCACGATGAGGCAGCACAAGGATGAACGTCTCCAGGCTTTTCTTACCAGGTTTAATCTCACTAAGAGTATGGTGATCGAATGCCACCCTTCTACAGCAGTTCAAGCCTTCAAGTTAGCCATGACACATGGAACTCCGTTTCACACCAGTCTGGTAGTGAACACGCCGACTACTATGGATGAACTCAATGAAAGAGCCGATGGCTTTGTGCGCCTAGAAGAAGAGGAGGCAGCTAATGCTCGGACAGCGTCGCTCGTGTCGACCGAGGAAAAGTCCAAGGCAAAGATCAGGCAGAAGCAGGCTCAGCCGCAACGTCAGACCTCTTGGAAGGCAGAAAAAAGGTCCAGGGAGGAAGAGCTGATTACTCCGCTGAAGGTCACTCTGGCGAGGCTGTATCAGGAGAACAAAGATAAGTTTCATCCACCACTGCCAATTAGGCAACCCCTCGAACAGAGGGATCAAACTAAACATTGTGCTTTCCATTCCGATTTCGGTCATCAGACTAACGAATGCAGGAACCTGAGGAGGCAAGTGGAGATGTTGATAGCTAGAGGGGAGTTCGCGAGTTATGTTCAAGGCTCGGCGATAGAGCAGAATCGACCGGTGGAACAAATAAAAAAGAGTCATAAACAAAGCTCCCACAATTCACAACCAGTTCGTATAATCAATGCTATCCATGGTCGACCCGAGCCCAGTGAAGAGTCAGATGAGCTACTCCAGGCGCGCCTGCGGCAGGCGCAGATGAAGAAAAGGGTCAGCAGTGTGAATACTCTACACCAGCAGAGCCCGTCGATGCAGATAAAGTTCGACTGGACAGACCTGCAGCGTGTTCAACTGCCCCATGAAGACCCGTTGGTAGTCAGTTTGACAGTGGCGGACTGCTTGGTGCGCAGAGTTCTGATCGATCCTGGGAGCAGTGCGAATGTCATGCCGAGGGACACATTTGATAGGCTCGAGATTAAACCAGAGAGGCTCAAGCCCACTGGAAATCCCTTGTTAGGGTTCGATGGGAAGAGGGTGGAGCCCGTCGGGATGGTGGAAGTAGAAGTTCAAGCTGCAGAACGAGCTCTTATGGAAACTTTTGTGGTTGTAGAAATTCACCCCTCGTATAATCTCCTGATGGGAAGAGGATGGATTCACAGAGTCCAAGGTGTACCCTCAACTCTGCATCAGGTCATGAGGTGCCTCGGACCCGATGGAGATAAAGTGATAGACATTCGGGGGGATCAAGTTGCAGCCAAAGAGTGTTATTCCGTCACACTAAAGTATGCTGGGAAAGGGAAGGCGCCCGTCCGTTCGGCAAGCCCCAGATAGCAATTACAGGAACCTCCGCCCGAGCAGAACAGGGTGGAGGAGTCAGTCGACTTGACCGAGGAGCCCCTTCTGGATGTGCAGATCGATCAGTCCAGGCCAGAACGAACTACCAGAGTAGGTATAAGACTGACCAGAGAAGAGCAGCAAGAGCTAGTGGATTTCTTGTCCCACAATGCCGACGTATTTGCATGGAGTCACCTAGACATGCCTGGAATTAGTCCCTCCGTATCCTGTCATTCCCTGAATGTCAATCCCAATTTCAAACCAGTGAAACAGAAGCAGCGAAGATTTGCTCCAGAACGTAATCAAATCATAGCGGAAGAAGTCGATAGGCTGCTTGATGCGGGATTTATCAGAGAAGTGCACTACCCTGATTGGTTGTCCAACGTCGTTGTCGTGCAGAAGAAGAATGGGAAATGGCGAGTATGCATTGATTTCACCAATTTGAACAAAGCCTGTCCGAAGGACAGCTTCCCGCTGCCTAAGATTGATCAAATGGTGGATGCCACCACCGGGTATGAGCGTTTAACCTTTCTGGACGCTTATTCAGGTTATAATCAGATCCCTATGGACCCCGCAGATGAAGAAAAAACTTCTTTTGTGTCACCGAGCGAGGAACATACTGCTACAAAGTTATGCCTTTCGGACTAAAGAATGCGGGAGCAACTTATCAAATACTTGTTAGCAAAATTTTTAAGAATCAAATGGGAAAGATTGTGGAAGCCTATATTGATGATATGGTGGTAAAGAGTAGGAAGAAGGATGATCATCTGAAGCATCTGCAAGATGTATTTGATGTACTGAAGCGATATGGGATGAGGCTCAATCCAACCAAGTGCTCGTTCGGTATGAGTTCCGGACAGTTTCTGGGACACGTGGTCAACCGCAGAGGCATCGAAGTTAGCCCCGCTCAAGCAGAGGCTTTGATTAAGAATGCCGAGCCAAAGACGATCAGAGAGGTGCAAGCCCTCACAGGACGAATAGCTGCATTAAGTCGATTTATTTCAAAATTGTCAGATCACTGCAAGCCGTTCTTTGACACGATTCGGAGCCATGGAAGGCAGGTCTGGGGGGATGAGCAACGACAAGCATTGACTCATTTGAAGGAATATATGCAGAATCCACCAGTCCTGTCAGCCCCAGATCCGGAAGAAAAGTTATTTCTATATCTTGGAGTATCTGGTGTCGCGACAAGTGCCGTTCTGATTCGTTGCAAGGAAGGGGTGCAATACCCGGTATTTTATGTAAGCAAAACAATGACAGAGGCAGAACAAAGATACTCAAAGGCCGAACGGGTGGTACTTGCACTTGTAAATGCAAAAAGAAAGTTGAGGCATTATTTCGAATCCCACCCCATAGCTGTTCTAACAACTTTTCCAATCAGAACGCTTATGCACAAGCCAGAGCTCTCGGGCAGAATGACAAAGTGGGCCATAGAGTTGAGTTCATTTGACATAACGTATGAGCCGAGAACAGCTGTTAAAGGGCAAGCGGTG